CATTTCTGGTGAATAACAACATTTATTCAAATCTAAATTTAACCCACTACTTAGCGGTAAAGTATAAAGTTCAATCTTGGTGACAGGTGTAACTTTCCTATTCCCCATGATTAAGTTTATTCTTTCTTGCTGCACATTCTCACTTCTTCTTAGTCCCTGCAATTCACAATAAATGTGAATACCACAACCGGTATCAAGGACCCAATACTTAGAATGGGGTGAGTTATTAGAAATGAAAGTGTAAATACCTGCATGGTTAAGTTTAACTTTCCCATCCTTCACATCTTGCTAGTATTTTGGGCAGTTCCGCTTCCAATGTGATTTTTCATGGCAATAGAAGCATTCAACCTCTTTTGGGTTAGAAGAAGGAGTGACGAAACCTTTCTTGGTTCCACTTGAAGAAGAGCCATCAAGGGTCCTAACCTTGGTACCCTTCGAAGAACTCATTCTCTTCTTCCCTCGACTTTTCCAGATTGCCAAAACCGGAGTGGAGTTTGGAGTAGGAGTGTTAACAACCGACTTCCCCTTAAGACCTAATTCTGCAGTCTTGAGAAGTCCCTGAAGTTTGCTGAGAGTGACCTCTTCCTTATTCATGTGATATGTCATGCGGAATTGATCATAGCACGATGGTAAGGAGTGCAAAATGATATCTATTGCAAGCTCCTCAGGGAAGTTCACATTAAGCTTCAGCAATCGATCCACATACCTTTGCATTCTCTGCATGTGGCTCGTGCGGATTCCCTGTCCTTCATCATGGTTGTTATCATGGAGCAAATGATTTCATACCTTTCTTGTCGTGCACTTTGATGGTATCTTTCCATCAAATCTTGGTGCATTTCATAAGGGTAGAAGTCTTCATAAGACTTTTGGAGTTCAGCTGTCATTGTGGCCATCATGATGCAAGCCACTTTGGTAGCATTTCTTTCATGAGTATGAAAGTCAGCGATCTCCTAGGGAGTTGCAGTGGTCTCATCTATTTCCTTAAGCTCCTTGTCAAGTACATATTCTTTGTCCTCGTAGCGGGTAATCATCCTGATGTTTCTGATCCACTCATTGAATTTGGATCCATCAAAAGTGACTTTCCCACACAAGTTCATAAGGGTAAAGGAGCCATTAGGATTAGAGCTAGAAGTAGCATTGTTTGAAGACATCTGAAGGAAGAGGACAAGATTGGTTTAGATATTAAGAGAGTCCTTAATAAAACACCCAAATGTAATATTAAGGCTAGGATCCAATCATAATATATTATAACTTAGAAGAGGTATGCCGTAATCCAAGCTATAACATATTTGAAAGGTAGGTGAATGACGATTCACCAATTCCCACCACGAAAACCGAAATATTAGATATTAGGTTTTGATTGGTTCTTAGAAATTCCTAGATTCTTTGAGATTCATTGAACTTTTCAAAGGCATGTTTCAATCTCGAGCGTACCCTCCAAGTTTTGTGACTGGGATACCGAGGATCACAAAACGAGGTGTGAAGTAACCATGCAAACTACTTGGTAACCTTAAAGTTTATCACTCAATCGATGTGCTGGTAAACCACACACGCTCCACCGATACTATAATAAACCTTAAGTCACCCTTTACCTACCTTGTTAAGTCCAAGTTAGTGTGCCGGTTAACCACACACGCTCCATCAAAGACTTAAACAAAGTGTAAAGTGTAATTTCATGGATTAGCACCTTATTCAAATTTTTCCTAAAGTAACCAAGATTGGGAATTTAATAAAACATTTAGTTACTTTATAATATTCATCATACTTTTAATGAGAATTTATAAGTCTTTGTCTTACCCGTTCGGCTAACGACCCTCCACCAGTCCAGCGAGTGGTGGGTGAGAGTGGACACCCATTAAGTTGCGATTTTATAGGCAACAACCTTATGCCCACCTTATAGACCGGCTTCGTGAATGAGGCGTACTAGCGTTAAGACGATTTTGTTCTTATACATACATATATATATATATATATATATATATATATATATATATATATATATATATATATATATATATATATAAAATCATAATAATATAAGTATAAGGGTTGAATTTTAACTTTTAAAATTCTAGGGGTTGGAACTAAAGTTTTAACAAGATTTTACTTGTTCCAAAACTTGAGGGGAAGTTCTGTAAACTTTCAAAACTTTTCATTTCATGTAACTTATGAGTTTAATAGAGTAATAAAAATGAAGACTCTTTATTTTTCTAACTCTTGTGTTCTTTTGATGGTTTTAATTCAAGTGACTTTTAGTTTTCCATAACTTGAGGACAAGTTATGGACTCCATTAAAACACATTATGATCAAGAATTAAACTACCACATAGGTTACAAATAATTCCTATGATCATCTAAACATCATAAGAACAAGAACATGAATATGAACACTTTCATAAAACAAAATTACACTTAAAACTTTGTACTTTTGATTACTAGTTGTTGTAAATGAATTAGCAAAGATATTACACAATCTAAAACAAGTTTTCAAGTACCAAAACAGTTTAGGGTAATGTTTCTAATCCATTTCCAGCAACTAAAGTCGAAAATCTGCACTCTGTCAACCCTACTAGTCGAGTGCATTAACCTACTCGACGAGTAGGTTGAAGATACAAGTGAACTCGACGAGTCCCCCCATGGACTCTACGACTCCAGCAGTCAGACATCGAGTTTTTCGACTTTCTTCAACTTTTAGCACAAATAACAAACAAACAAGCCTAGGCTCTGATACCACTGAAGGGTTTTGAGCATTCTAACACTTCCTAAGTGTACATGCAACCCTAATAACCTTGGATATATGTTTGTCTAATTATCATGCAAAGTTGAATTCCAAGGCTATATTCCTATCTAGCATACATGGGGAACAATTTTTAACTTGAATGATAGATAGAATAACTTACCTTGTTGTTGCTTGTGTTACTTGAAACCTTATGAGCCTAGCACCCCAAGTGTGATGCCTCAAATTCTTCACACAACACCAAATTCTCTTGGAAAGACTTTTGAGAGAATACACACTTCTAGAAATCGGCCTAGCCCTCTTGTTTCATATGTGTAGCCGATTTTGGTGGAGAATATGATTCTTATATAGTTTTAACACATCTAGGGTTACACCATGTAAACGCTAATTTGTCATGACTCTTCATTTCCGTGACCCATGGGTTTGTAACTCCCATGGAGCATCGTATGGGTGGAACCCAACTTGATAATCCATGGAGCCTCTTAGCCCACTATACAAGATATGGATGATTTACTTAATCAACCCATATATTTATTTAGTTATCTTTTGATCACTTAATTAATTCTTGATCAAACTAATCAAATAATATTATTAATATATTAGAACTTATAATATATTAATAATCTCGAAGTGTTATTTCTCTCATTTAGTCTATCCAATTGCATGGTGCCATGCAACCCAAATGGACCATGCCTAGAGTAGCACCAATGGAAAATTCTCCGTATTGACTAAATTCCTAGAGTAGCACCAATGGAAAATTCTCCTTATAGATTGGTGTCATCTAAGATGCGAGAACTATCCAGTCAACTTAAGGAGCTTCATGATAAACGATTTATTAGACCAAACTTCCGACCTTGGCGATCGCCAATATTATTCTTCTGGAAGAAGGAAGGATCATTTAGGATTTGTATCAATTTTATTGATTTAAAAAAACTACCAAAAAGAAGCGATGTTCATTCCTAAACACTGATTATCTATTTGATCAACTCTAATGTCTAACTATTATTCCAAGATTGATTTAAGATCATAATACCATCAACTCAAAGTGCTTGAGGAAGATATTCCAAAAACTACATTTAGGACTCGATATGGTCATTACAAGTTCTTGGTTATGCATTTGGATTAACCAATGCACTAGCGGTATTCATGGATGTTATAAATCATGTTTACAAACCTTAATTGGATAAATTTGTGATAGTATTAATCGATGATATACTGATATACTGATAAACCAAGGAAGAACATGGTGAACTTCTAAAGCTCATCTTAGAACTGCTAACAAAGGAAAAGTTGTATGCCAAATTCTCTATGTGCAAGTTCTAGATTAGAGGGGTACATTTCCTTGGGCATGTGGTCGATTACAAAAGAATTATGTAGATCCCTTTAAGATAGAGACATCTAATGATTGGGAAGCCCAAAAGACTCAAATGTGGTTTCACTAATTCTTATGGTTCATAAGCTATTATCAGAGACTCATCAAGAATTTATCCAAAATAGCCAACCATCGCATATCCTTAACCTAGAAAGATAAGAAATTTGGCTGGGAATACAAACAAGAGGATGTGTTTCAAAAATTAAAGCTGATGCTTTGTAATGCACTGATCATGTCTCTCCTAGAAGGAATAGAAGATTTTTTCATGTATTATGATGCTTCACATAAAGGTTTAGGATGTGTGTTAATGGAAAGAAACAAAGTCATTGCCTACGCTTTTAGGAAACTCAAAGTGCATCAGAATAACTACACCATTCATGGTCATTAGTAGGGAGAAATAGTCTTTACGCTTAAGATATGGCAACATTACCTTTAGGGTGCAAAGTGCACCATATTCACTGAAAACACTACTAGAAAAAACAGCCTTTTACGACGCTCATTGCGCGTCGTAAAAGGCTCAGACGACGCGCAAATGAGCGTCAAGGAAGGCCCTGTCATAAAGAGAGACGACGCGCTTTTGCGCGTCGTCTATAGATGACGTGCATTTACGACGCGCAGTTACGACGTGCCCTGTCATAAAGGAAGACGACACGCATTCGCGTGTCGTTACCTTACGACGCGCATGTTAATGACACACAATGCGTATCAAGAAAGCCCCTGTCAAGAAAGGCCATGTCATAAATGAAGATGACACACATTTTTGCGTATCATAATTTTAAATGTTTAAAAAAAATATTATTTATAGATTTACTTATTTTCAAATTAAATTTATATTTAATATTTCATAGTAGAAAATAAAATATCATATACAAAAAATAGAATCCATTGCATAAATTTAATGTCATACAATTCTATTTCTTACAATATATAAATTTGCATCTAATCTACTATGTACATCGAATTCCGACTAACTAAAGTTGCATCTTGCCTTTCATAATTCTTTAAGACTAATGCTCCAAGCAGCTTATTATATGACTTAGCAAAATTCAACTCCAAGTCTTTACTGCATCTTGCTGATAATGCTGCAAGATTTAAATAAAATTCAACTCCAAGTCTTTACTCAATAATCAAAATCCCAAGAGCAACATCCATTGTAGAGGCAAGTTCATTTTCAAAACAAAACATAGTATTTATAATGATAAGGATGTGGAGGGTACACTGTAAAAACTCAGACATGGCTATAATGGAGATAACAGGGATAAATATATATACCTTAAACAAATTAGCTTCCAGATCAGATTGAGTGCTGCAAAAAAACTAATATATGTTAAGGTAGTATTTGGAGGATGTAATATGATGACATACATGTCCAAAAGGCTATTATGTATGAGCTTGACCAACACCAAGGGAATTATTGGTAGAAATAATGTTACTATTTGTAGGGTTGATAGGGATAATGTCTCCTCACTTTGTTCATGTACTGAAGCTCCCTGTTGAATATATTATGTTTTTCTATGCATATGGGAACATGGGGAGGCGTCCTATGGGGGTAGATTTGTCATTTGACATACCGGTGACTGAACTGAGGGTGAAGACAAAAGCATTTTCATGAAATTTTTTGTTCATATGAATTCCTTCTACATAGGGCAATTAAGCCAACTAACTTGACTAGGTTGACATGGTTTCTAATTGAAACTAGTTTCTAGATGATGAATGGAATATAAATTCAAGTAGGGTTTTGAAGTTTGAATAACAGATATGTTGTTACCTTAACGAGGCCAGGTGGAATTACTAACCATCAACACCAATAGGCCAGTGCGGAGCCTTAGCTGCAACATCGAGGCATTGCAGAATTGCTTGCTCTGTCTTAATTATAGATATTGAAAACGCTACACCACAGCACAACACAAAGATATTAGCCACTTTTTTTGCATCAGAAAACAAAATGAACTTAACAAACCTCCCATATCGGTTATGGTTCATATGAGGTGAGATATCGCTTAATCGCTTAACCCGCAAAAAATCCATGTCACAAAATATAAAAAAAATAATAATAAAGAAAAAAAAACTAGCAGGATATCTTCTCTAAAAAAACCAATTCTGCAAATATCCAATAACAATGGTAGAACCAATGGTGATCATCTTGCATAATGAAGTGGAGTCGAGGAATTGACATGCCATAAATCATTTATTTCTGTCTGTTAAAATACAACTAAGCAGCTGATGTGTTAAAAAATTTAAAAACTTATGCCACATCATACACATAAGTCATAGCAGGTTGCATGAACCATTGTCCTATTTTGAAACACCATTGCATATTATGTATAACAACAAACATTATTAATCAGAAAAAATGTGAAACATTGTTGTATAAATAAGTAACTAACCCTAAACAAGAATTAGGAGTCCCTTATAAGTCTTTAGTAGCATAATAATAACTTCCATTCCACCAAGGTTTTTATAACACTTTAGAGGTCACTAGAAATGCATGGAAAATGAAATTCATCATTTACAAGAACCTACTACCATAATACATACCTCAGAAAGAACCATGAGCATCTGATCAATGTACGAAATCTTATCAGGGGAAAGCCTACAACACCAATCAAGAAATGTTATTGTGTGTATGATACTTTGAAAATCATCAAAATATGCTATAACAATATTACATTCACCAAATTAAAAGATAAAAATGAAACCTTCAACTTACTTTTCTACAATGGAGCAAATTTTTTCAGTAAGATCTCCCTTGAAGTCCTGGTCACTTACATGTAGATAATCAATTAACACCTTGGTCAAAGGTTTGACATTCGTCTCATTGGATCTGATTTTCATCTTGAGACTGAAACATTTAACAAATCATGAAATTTGATTTAATTAAAACTAAAACATTAAACAAAAATTCATACCTTGTTTAATGGGTGAGAAATCAATTGTTGTTCAAGTTTCTCAATCTGATTTACCAGGTCCACAAACTGAGGTTCTTATATGCCCATATCCTGTCAACAGAAGTCATGTATTTTTGAATTAGTTATGAAAAATAAAAGATCAATAAAACGCAAATAAAGTTACCTTGATAGGATTAAGTGTTGGAAGACCTTGAGGAAAACGTTTTTGAAGCTCAGGATTCAAAATTTGAAAAACCTTACCAGTCTTGATATTGCAAATAATGGTATTTCAGATACTATTCCTCTCGAGTTTTGGGGCTCGTGGCCTTCCCGGTTAACATTCCCGAATCTTTCTTCCAACAACATAAAGTGGGAAAGTACCAGATCTGTCATCAATATTTCACAACAATTCAGTGATAGATTTAAGCTCCAACAACTTTGATGGTCTAATAACTAATGTCTCTTCCACTGTGACATTACTAAATCTTTCCAGAAACAAATTTTCTGGAGGAATCTCCTTTTTATGTGAGGTTATCCATGGCTTTTTAGTTATACTTGACCTCTCTCATAACTATCTAAGCGGACAAATTCCAGACTGTTTGTGGCATTTCAAAGAACTAAAAGTTCTTAATTTAGAACACAATAATCTGTCTGGAAGGCTTCCTGCTTCTGTTGGATCTATGATTAAGCTCGAGGCATTGGATTTACACAAGAATGATTTCTCCGAATCTGTCCCAGCTTCTGGAAGGCCCGACTTTTTCACCAAATTTACAACCACCCCCACCCCCAGTCTGTCCTAGCTTCTCGAACCTTAACCTGAAACAAAAAAAAAATAGATGAATATACCTTATCATTTTCTCAAGTATTTGACACTGCCCCAAATACAATCTCAATTTTATGAATAAGTTGATGAACAAACACTTCACTGAGCTCAAACAGTTCTTCATGATCATGGGAGCCATGATGACCTCCCTCCACTAATGACTCATCTGTCCCTTCAAGTTCCACATAGGAATCACCTTGGTGTGCCTGGAACATTAAATAAAATATATAATATGGTCTTTAAATATTAATCAAAAAATATAAACATGGTTAAAACAATAAAAAGAACATGACATACTCTGTTATGATGTGCCTTTAAACTGAAAGGCTTGGGTAGCAGCATCCATGGGACAGCAATTAAGGATAGAAGTAGTAGCATAAGCTATCATTGCCATTGCCAATCAGATCATTTCTATTAGTTGTCACCTTTAATAAACTTTAGACGAATACAATTTATTTTTATAAAAAAATAACATTTTTTGCTTTATTCATTAACTTAATTTACTTAGTTTTCTAGTTATACCTGACTGTCTTTCAGCGGAGATGAGTGATGACCTAAACTCTTTGCTATTCAGTGTTTTCATTTTTTTATATTACTTTCAAGTTATGATATGTAATTACTTTTGCACCAGACTTAGTATATAATCATATGCACTCGTCATTAACCCAACATTGCAACATGCATCTCGTGATTTCTTTTATGTTGGATCACATTGAAAAGAACAGAAATAAATATTCTTAGCTAAAGATTACTTTATAATAAAATCCAATAACACAAGTGAAGGAATGTAGTGGTAAACAAAGAAGTATGAGTTGAAAGTTTGGAAATGGAAGTTAATCTCTACTGTTCTTTTAGCTAAATCAAATTCATTTTTCAAATTCTCAACATTTGTACGCATGACAGCTATCATCTTAATCACCCATCTAGTATTATAAATAGAAAATCGTTATTAAAAGATGGATATGATAAATAAAATATTAGAAAGAGGTTAAAAGCTACCTCCATATTAGGTGAACATGAAAGGTATGTTCAAGCACATTTGGCAGCCATCTACCAAATGAGTAAGCATCAACATTAAAAAAGAAGAAAAACCTCAACTGTGAAAAGGAGACAGACCCATGACAACTCTAAGATTCTTTTGAGCATTTATACAAACACATTGTGTGCATATCCATGTTCCACATAATCATATAAAAAGTTTACACTAATATCGGTCCACGTGGTTAGAAATTAATGAATTACAATCCACATACAAAAAATTAATTTTGCCATTTCAGTTGATGGATGAATCTCACTGACACTCAAAAATTGCTTTGATAACAAAATTTATGAAAACATGAACCTGTAAAAAGATGTATCGATGAAAGAGATGGGACTAACACCTCAAAATTTGGTACAGTTCACACAAGTCAGCCAACAAGTGATTATAAAAATTGATTTTAGGGATGCCATTCGTCAAAATACTTGCTCTATAAATGAAAAAACCCTAATATCAGAGAGAGAGAGAGAGAGAGAGAGATCACAAAGAATCAAAACAGGACCTGAATGTTCAAGTTGTTAGCTCAACCTGTCTTTTTCCATCCTCGTCCCAGTTTAGAGAGATGTGCTTGAAATTTCACAATAATATAGGGTTAGAAAACCTTGGACGGCCTAATTCGATTGTGGACTTGATTTTTTTTTTCTAATAGAATCGCATAATAGGGATGTGAATGAGTATCTGGTGGAAGCTCTCCAATCTTCATTCCCTTAATTTTGTCGTCATCTTTGTGTGCGTGAAGATCCGAAAAAAGAAAAGTAGAAAGAAGGAGAACAAGTCGGGGTTTTCGAATTTTTGGGGATTTCGTTTCCATCTTAGCTATTAATGGTCGGAAAACGCATGTTTCATCGATTTTTGCATCTAGGTGAGAACGAAGAAGGAAGTGTGGGGAGCAAAAAACCCTAAAAAAAGGGGGTGAACGAATTAACTGGAGATCGATTAACATCTAGAAAGAGATCATTAGCTAATAAAACCAATGAAGCCTTGTTATACGATGAACTTGGAATGATTGAAATAGAAGAGGGTAATGATGCATAAAAGAAAATCCCCATATTTAATAGTAAATATGCGTCCAATCGGACGAACTGATACATTATCAGAATCATCTCTCTCTCTCTCTCTCTCTCTCCCATTTGTTGTGGTTAATGGGAGAGAGAGAGAGAGATTTGTTATAGATAGGGCGGAGGTGGTTAATGAGATGTTTGGTGATACTGATAAGAAGGAGATCGAGTAGAGATCCGATGAACGAGATGTTTGATGATACTGAAGATGAGGATGAAGGACCTAGGGCTTTTTCTTCCTAAGTAGAAGAGGCGGGGGTATTAATTTTGGGATTCAATAGGCGGGGTAAATTTTCGTCGATTTTATTTCCCGCCTAAAAAGCATGTTTCACTTAAAATTATAATGCGACACATTCACATGACGCACATTTTATGAAAGGTGCCCTCCACATTTCTTTTTTTTCTTTTCTTACACTAATTTTAGGGCGCGCAAAAATGCGTGCCCTCTATCCTTCAAATTTTGCAAAACTGACATTATCTTTTAGGGCACTTACAAATGCGCGTCGTCTATCAGCGAGTGTCATTGTTTGCGCGTCACTAAAGGGCTATTTTCTTGTAGTGAAACAAGAGTCTTCAACACATCTTCGAACAGAAGGAAATCAACATGAGGAAACAAAGATGGATAAAGTTACTGAATGACTATGAATGTGAAATTTGTTATCATTCTGACAAGGAAAATGTAGTAGAAAATGTTTTTAGCCGGAGGAAAGGAGCCAAACATAGAGGGTTTGAGCTCTAACAATGGCAATTCACTTTAACATTACCATACAAGTTCAAGATGCACAAATCAAAGATATAAGAGAAGAAAATCATGTAAATGAATTTTTACGAGGCATGGATAAGTAGTTTGAGCTTAGGGGTTATGAGACCTAATTCATTATGAACCAGATTTTGATACTGAAGTTCAGTGATCTAAGGAAATTAGTCATGGATGAGTCTCATATAGCAAGATAATCTATCAATCCCAATTCAAACAAGATGTATCTGGATTAGAAAAGACTATATTGGTGGCTTAATATGAAATCAAAAACTAGCTCCTATATGAGCAAATGTTTGACTACTAAATTCAAGGTTAAATACGAGAACCCTCAAGACTACTTAAGTAGCCAGAAATACCCGAGTGGAAAATGGGAACAAATAGCGATGGATCTCATACTTAAGTTTTCCTAAAACTTCACGTCGTTATGATGCCATATGGCTACTGGTCGACAGATTAACCATGTCTGCTCACATCCTACCGAAAAATGAAACGGATAAAATGGAGAAGTTGACAAGAACTTATCTTAAGAATATTGTCAAGTTGCATGGTGTACCCATATCTATTATATCTAGTAGGGATAATATATTCAACTTGTGATTTCTGGAAATCATTACAGAAATCCTTAGGAAAATGTTAGGATATGAGCATGACTTATCATTCACAAAATGATGGTTAGAGTGAAATGACCATGCATACTTTATAAGACATGCTCTAAGCTTGTATGATAGACTTTGGAAATGCGTTGAGATTCACCTACCATTAGTTGATATTTCTTATAATAATAGTTATTACACTAGCATCAAAGCCACACCATTTGAAACGCTTTACAGACAAAAGTGTCGATCGTTAATATGTTGGGCAGAGGTAAGAGACACCCAAATAGGAAGGAAGTATGTGAGAGACGCTCAACTTACTGGTCCTGAGATTATACATGAGACAAGGGAAAAGATTTTCTAGATTCGCGATAAATAAAGGCGGTACATGACCATCAGAAAAGTTACGATGACCGTCGATGCAAGCCTTTGGAGTTTTAGGTAGGAGATCGGGTGATGTTAAAGGTGTCTCCTTTGAAAGTAAGGATAAGGTTTGGAAAACGAGGCAATATAAATATATGGTATATAGGACATTTTGAAATTCTAACTAGAATTGTTACTATAACATCTAGGCTCAAGTTTCCTTAGGAACTCAAAAATGTACGTTACACACTTTCCATTCCTCTCGATGAAATCCAGGATGATTCTAAACTCCATTTTGTGGAGGAACCTTTTGAAATCATAAATCAAGAAGTCAACAGACTAAAACAAAGTCGTTTCCCTATAGAAAAGGTACCATGTAACTCGAGGCGAGGATCTGAGTTCACATGAGATAGGTAAGATTAGATGAAGATCGAATACGCTTAACTCTTTATTAATACTTCGGTAGAGAGCAGTACAACTTAAAATTTCAGGACAAAATTCCCTTAACAGGGGGAGAATGTGATAACTGTAGAAAGTAGGTCATCATTAAACAAACAATGCTAAACTAATCACTTTTGTAAAAGACCCCATATGAAATAATTCATGTTTTTGTTGTTAATAGGTTTTTATACTTGAAATACATTGAAAATATCAATCAAGTCATGGATTGATATGAATCCCTAAAAAATGAATAGTTTCAATATACATACGAAATAGGTTAATGCATATGATTGAAAGAGATATATGTATTAGTAATTATTATCAGCTATCATTAGGCTCATCACCTAGTCCTTAAAAAGAGGGAAATTTGGACATAAAGAACATCGAAAACGGAGTTCATATGCAAAAGATACGATTGTTTTAAGAATATGAACAATCGGGTAATAGCTCACCGCCTGATAGGTGTCACAAGACAACTTCCATTGAAAAATGAGATGTCTCAGGAAATGAATATTTATTCCTAGCTAGTTTTCCAATGAGTCTCATTCGTTTTAGGAAATTATCATGTTCCTAACTTTTTACACCCATATATACCATGATCTGTTAAGGATAGGGTCGGATGGATAAGGTTCGCCTTCTTCCCTAAGTAATCTTCGTACGACCTATAGGATCACTTACGGGATTCATATCGACAAGTTAGTTATATATTACAAATAGAGTTTTCATGTAGTATTTCATTGAAAAGCTAGCTTTCGATCTCATCTCGTCTCGACTCTTTTAAAAAATGAATGTTCGTAACTGTTAACGGAAAGTGACCGAAATTTTTTTCAAACCTTTATTGCAAATATCCACTCTATTTCTTTACAAATAGAAATCTAACCGTTTTTCCCAGAAAAATGTTTAGTATTTGAATTAGTTAATGAAAACGTTGCTTATTAAAATGATTTTTCACCCAAAAATTTTCTTTTATTTTAACAATTTATTATCTGAAGAATGTTAGTGGAAGTTTATAAAAACATCATCAATATTTATTTGGAAAACATTTCCAAAAACAACCCATAAAAACAATTAGTTGAAAAATCTAAACAAAACAAACACCAATAGCCATTTGTAAATGAAACAAT